GTTGCTGGTTGTTGTTAAGATTAAATGGAGTAGTGAAAAGTTGAAAAATGAATTTTTTTTTATAGAATTAACAAATGAAAGTGAAAACGTGAATCCATTTAAAAGACATTTTTAAGTTGGCTTAATTACCTACTTAGTCCCCATGTTCGGAGGTAATTTGCTGTTTAGTACCCGGTTTTAAAAATGTAGGCATTTGATACCTATGTTTTGAAATTTGTATCAATTGAATCCTACCCACTTAACGCCGTTATAAATCTAACGTTTTTCTGACATCAACTTTGAATTGTGGACGAGCGGTTGTGGACGATCGTCCAAACAGAGGAGGACGCTCGTCCAACACTGGAGGACGCTCGTCCAAACAGAGGAGGACGCTCGTCCAACAGTGGAGGACGCTCGCCAAACAGAGGAGGACGCTCGTCCAACAGCTGAGGACGCTCGTCCAACAGTGGAGGACGCTCGTCCAAACAGAGGAGGACGCTCGTCCAAACAGAGGAGGACGCTCATCCAACAGTGGAGGACGCTCGTCCAACAGTGGAGGACGCTCGTCCAAACAGAGGAGGACGCTCGTCCAACAGAAGAGGACGCTCGTCCAACGATGCTCGGACGCTCGTCCACTACCGTTCGTCCACAATTCAAAGTTGATGTCAGAAAAACGTTAGATTTATAACGGCGTTAAGTGGGTAGGATTCAATTGATACAAATTTCAAAACATAGGTATCAAATGCCTACATTTTTAAAACCGGGTACTAAACAGCAAAGTACCTCCGAACATGGGGACTAAGTAGGTAATTAAGCCTTTTAAGTTTGTTATAAAAGTTACAAATATAAAAGTATTAAATTAAGTCTATTAAAAAAAGTAAGAGATGTAAAAATTACTGTCGTCAAAATGAGTTAAAACCCGTGAGCCAACCCGGATCACCACATGTTTAAGCCGGGTTGGGTTGAAAAAAAATGCAATTTTTTTTATGCGAGCCAATTTTAACGAGGCTCACTAAGAACTTGGCTCACACGGGTTGAACCCGTGGTGGGTTGGGTTGGGTGGGCTAACCAACCTACCTATTTTTTTTAATTAAATTAATTATTCAAATCCTATTTTTTTATTGAAATCAAATTAATTAAATTAATTATTCAAAATGCACAACCTTTACTTAGCAACATAGCCTTTCGCGTTGTTGTCTTTCCAAAAGTTCTCCTCTGCAAATAAAACCCTAAGTTTATAGATTGGATAATATTATAGATGGAGATAAAGAAGAAGATGCTTCAAGAGACCATAATTATGTGAATTTATCCATTCAGGACTCCAATTTAATAGATAGATAATATTATAGATTGGATAATTCAAGAATATATCATTTGTTTTGTCTTGTTTTTAGACCTATCTACAAGCATGACGATTTTATCTTGTGCTATATATTTTATTTAACGATTTCTTGGTCAAACGGTTGTGTATGTCTCATTAAACTAAATTGACAAAATTTTATGCTTGATAGCTTATAATATATATAACAATATATTTCTTTTGTTTCATTTTCTTTTATATCAATTGGTCCAATTATTACAGTTTCAATTTGATCGATCAAAGTAACATGTTATAAGAATCTGAGAAGAAGATGGTGAAAAAAAAGTTAATTAAGTGAGCTAATGAGTCAACCAGTTTAACCCACCAACCTGTTCGAATTTTTTTGGCTCACTAATAAATGAGTCGGGTTGGGTTGAATCACTAAATGGCCAACCCGTGGTGGGTTGGGTCAGGTCGGATTACCCGTTTTGACAACTCTAGTAAAAATAACACATTTTAAAGTCGGTTAGAAAAGTAACATATGTAAAAATACAAATTTAAGTCAATTAGAAAATTAATATATGTAAAAATATTACTTTTATTTATAAAACTGACACCACACATTTAAGTTTGCTTTTTAATAGACTTAAATTCACATACTTAATAAGTTTATTTTAGCAGTTTATTTTGCTAAAGCGACAAAATTGACAAAATTCAAATTTTATTTTCTTATTTCATCTTCTTCATCATCCATCATTACATCTTTTAAAAGAATTTATAAGATAAGAGAAATAAAATATTTATTATTTTATATATTTCATTTATCTATATTTATTGATTTATTTATTTACTTTGGTGTCTTTATCTTTATTATTTTCATTTTATTAGTGGGATGTTTATAATCTCATCTTTACTTATTTATTATTACTATTACTTTTTTGGTGAGGTGTTTATAATTTTTTTTTATTTATTGTTATTATCTTTATTTTATTAACCATATGTTTATTTTATTAATATGTTTATTTTATTACGCTTAAGCTAGTATTATTATGCTTAAGGGTTATTACATAGAGCATATTATGCTAGAAAAATATTTTTATTTCAGTTTTTACTAATATAGGAGTTATAGAAAGTTTACTTTTTATACTGGTTCTGTAATATCCCTAATAGGATGTCAAATCACATAATACGAATTGTATAAAACATTTTTGTCCAATTTTTTTATTATTATTAAAAACGTGGAAGCAAAACCATAAACATAACTTATGTCGTGCATTACAAACAAACAAATCTTACTTGTTCTTTAAAATACCAAAATCAAACATACGTAAATAAAAAAAAGCAACATAAAAACCTGGACAAGTTTAACTTAAATCCAACATCATTCCATTACCATTCACTCTCATACAAGTACGATCATTATAGGTGGAATCACAACCACAAAATGTAAGGGTGAACAACCAAAAATATCATATTATATAACACAATATAAACACATTACACACAGACTAGAACAATCCATAACATCATATCTCAAGATAGAATAATACATCACAATCAGGCCTTTCATAAACCAATGTCGTTTCCTTGCATTTCGTCGTCACAACGTGTTCTCAATAACAGAAGATTCGAGTCGTCTGTCATCGCAACTTCAGACTTGTCTCCCCGACTCCTCAAGCTTACTATCGTATCAAAAAGCTCACACATTCGACGAAATTACAAAAGAATAACATAGTTTACTTGCACAATACAAACTTATACACATTCTTAATAACATGTATAAAATCAACCGAAAGCGTAAATCAAACAAAATAACCAAAAAGTTCAATAATGGTTTAAAATAGGTTTTTTACTGAAACAACCCCTGAAATTATTAAGTTCACATCCCTATCCATTGAAATAAAATTTCTGACGTAGCCTTAATTACAAGGTTCACACCCCTGTCCAAGAAAACAAAATTTTTGATACACCACCTGTAATTACTAAGTTCACACCATCACCTACTTTGCAAGTGGGTCCCACGATCATTTAATTAATTTCTTTATTTTTTTTTCTTTTTTACTTTGACTTTTCAATTCAACCCACATCTCTGATTCTTCTTCCCATTCTTTTACATAAACAAACCCTATTCCTCCCATGCACCCCAACACATCTCTCATTTTCCAGAAACTCCTTTCTTCACCAACTAATCACACTCATTCTTTTCTTTTCCTTTTTCAAACCAAATTCAATCCTTCATCTTTTTCCCTCTCTCCATTTCTCTTCTTCATTTAGGACCCAAAACACCCACCCTTCTCTTTTCACTTCACCTTTCACTCGTTCACTTTTCTTTTCTCATTAAAACCCAAACTGGGTGGTGCTCATGCTGGGTGAAAAAGCGAATGGATAAACCCTCTCGCTATTAGCATCAGAGGAAGAAAATGGGGTCGCCAGTGAACACTTCGGCAAATGACGCAGTGGTGCTGGAAGTGCTCTCAGCTGCAAGTCTCGACGTCAGGCTCGATCCTGGTTACAGCAGAGAAGCGAACGACGACAACGTTCTAAGCTCAGATGATAAAATAGAGAAAGGAAGATGGATGTGAGAAGGGAGAAGAAGGTAGTTGGAGAATACGAGAAAGAAAAAAAGAACAAAAATATAAAGGGAAACGAAAACCTGAAAAAATCCATCATGTGTATTGTGCTTTGAAATTAAAAAAAGATAGGGATAAAAACATAATTAATTAAAAAATAGAGAATATTTTTTAAATATATGAAAAATATATTTTTTATTGAAAAAAGAAAGCTAATGCTTTTTTTTAGTTCAAGTTATTGAAACAATTTTTATTTGTTTTATCCAAAATTAGAGTTTATACATTTTTTAAGTAAAAGAACTTAATATGATTAAACTTTAAAATAGTTTTAAAAACCTTTATAATTTAGGAGTCAAAATCATAATTAATATATATATATATATATATATATATATATATATATATATATATATAATGGAGAATATTTTTTAAATGTGAAAAAAGAATTTTCTTGTTGGGAACAGTTAATACTTTTTAGGAGTCGAAGTTATTGAAAACATTTTTATCTTATGTAGAAAGGAGAATATTTTTGAGAGAGAAACGTATTTGGTTTTTTCGTTAGTAACAAGGGGAATGCATTTCTAGTAAATGGTAGAAGATATTGAAATAAATTTGTCTTTTTTTAGTAAAAAAAACTGCCTAAGATTTATCTTCTGATAGTAAAGAACACACATATTTTAGAAATAAAAACGTCATAAATGTAAAATTAGAAAAATATAAATAATTCTGTGAGTAGATACAAAATTGCACGCATAGCGTTGGTCCCTTCACGTCCACGTACAGTCAAGTATCACCCCAACATTGCCCAGTCCAAATCATGTTTAAATCCTATCTCTAGAGATTTTTTTTTCAAAAAATTGTCCTATCAATATATCTAGATATTTAACTAAAATTTGATTTAAAATAAATCTACAAATTTATATTAAACTTTTTAATATTTTTTAAGGCTTTGACGAGATAGGTTGAATTTGTCGAAAAATATTGTTTATATTTCAAATTTAAAATCGAAGAAAAATTATGCTTTTTATTTATTTAATCAGTTATATAAGAGAGAAAAAATATACCTGACCGGATGATATTTTGTTAATATTCTTATTCTTATATAGATTGGAATCAGTTATACATTGTTTTCTCATTAAATGACAAAGAAAGGGAAATAAACAATTTTTTTTTTGTGTTTTTGAAAAGTAATTAATTAAATTAAATTAAGATGGAATGAATTAAATTGCAGTGTTACAGTACAATTTGAAATAACGTTTTGTAATCGAGTAATAATATGTAGTACCAGACTGTTGTACTACTTTCTTCCATTGCATTTAATTCTCCCAACACACTCAACCACATCTGTCTCTTCTTCACACTCACAAATCAATTCCAAAACCTAAGCTTTAGATGGATGAACACATGCACGGGATGGGAGGGATGGCGTCGCCGCCGTCACCGTCGCCGCCAACCGCAAACGACACCATGGGCACCATGATGCACCACAAGATGATGATGCACATGACCTTCTTCTGGGGCAAAGACACTGATATTCTCTTCCAAAACTGGCCGGGAGGCAAATCGGATATGTATATCTTGGCCCTCGTTTTCGTCTTCGTCATGTCGGTTTTCGTGCAGCTGCTCTCGCACACCCGTTTCATCAAACCCGGTTCAAACCATGTCGCGGCCGGTCTGTTCAAGACCCTCTTGTTCGCTTTCAGGGTTGGTCTCGCTTATCTGGTTATGCTTTCAATCATGTCTTTTAATGGTGGTGTTTTCTTGGTTGCTGTGCTAGGTCAGACCTTGGGGTTTCTCATTACAACATTCGCTTTCAACAAATCGCCCCATGACGAGGGTTTCGATCTTCCTCCAGTTTCTTGTTGATTAGATTATCTTCTCTGGTTTTTTTTTTTAAGTTTTTCCCCCTTTTCTTAATTGGCTGTAACATTTGCATATGTAATGAAACTGGAGGTGTTTTTTGTGTTGATATCTAAATTACATTGGAGTACTTGTGGTTATGCGAATGTTGTTTATTTTGTGTTTGTTTATTCACTTGGCGTCAAACGCTACCACTGGAATCAACGATGGTGACAACCATGGTGGTACCACACCTTTATTATTTTGGATGATTCTGTTCTATCCATCCATTGAAACTTGTGAGTTTTTTCACCCAGTAAGTAGCATCTAAACAATTTTTTCACTATTTTTTTATTAGTGTTTGATTATCTTTCCCATCTCACTCTTTATCTCTACTGTGTTATAAAAGATACACTTTTTTCTACCATCGATAATTTTATTATTTAATAAAATAACCTGTTTTCATTTTGTATCTTCTTTTGGCATGTTACTTGATATAACACGTCAACATAAAGATAATTAATATCAACATTAAATATAAATATGAGTATTAATGGGCATGGGAAAAAATTATTAGAAAACAGATATTCCTGGTTTTATTTTCGTCATCTTGTGCCGTATATAAACAGATATACCATTTTCAACTAGTTTTATTGCCATTGTCAATTTTATTTACTATAATAGTGTTATTGTATTCCAAGAGATCTCTTTTTTCTCCAAGAAAAATGTCTTTTGAAAATATTATAGAAGGTAAGAGAGAAGAGAAGAATATTTTTATCACTGGTTTCAAAAGAATATTTTAATTTAACCAAAAGTTTGAGTGAGAGATAGTTTGAAATAAATTTATCGTATTGTTATGTTTAAATCAAAAGCTACTATATTAATACTTTGGATTTAATACTTCTTATTTGATATTAGAGTTTTATAAAAGCAACAAATTTCTAAAAACAAAAAAATAGCTTTAGATTGTTTTATTGGGAGACAATCATTAAAAAAGTCACTCCGAATTTATGAAATAAAAATACCAAGAAAAAACATTAATAAAGTATGTTCATTTATATGGATCGAGAAATGTTTAGTTTTGGTTACTGTTAATCACCACATTTAAGATATGGTTTATTTTAGTAATTTAGTTTCTCGTTTTAAAAGTATTTGAAATGAATCATCACTTTTAAAATTTTGAGTCAAATTAGTTCCTTATGTTAAATATAAACAAACGGTGTTAAGAGTTTGATGATTTGGCAGAAAACAGTGCTAACATGTTATTTTATAAATGTATTTGTGCTGACGTGTTAGTGAATTAGAAGTTGACGGTGAAAGAGTAAAGATTGACGTGGAAAGTATTATTCTTCCCCGGGGCTTTACACCCTACGTTTGAGAAACCATCCTTTTAGGCTAGTTCGAGCTCGTCTTCAATGGCACCGCTTCATATTGGTCCATCGGGAACTAAAGCAATGGGACATTCGTCAACATCCCAGAGATGACCATTCCTTACCTTTACGCCTTTCACTTCGTCGCGCCGTTCTCCCCCATCACAAATGAATATGATTACTATTTGTTATAGAATCATTTTTTGTCTTGTGTAGCCTGACTTCTGAAAAGAACCTGCAAATGCTGTCAAGAGAGCTTACAGTAAAACTAATTTTAATATTTTAGAGATGTCGGGTGAATTAGGTAGAGGAGGTTCAATTGCAGTTACAACCATATTAGTCAATTGTCAAAAGTTAATAGTAGCCAACATTGGGGATTCTAGGGTTGTCTTATGCAAGAAGGGTGTGGCCAAATAATTATCAGTGGATCATGAGCCAAATACGGAGCATGAAGATATAAAAAATAGAGGTCGAGAATATAAATGTTATCTATAAATCATTAAACAAGTAACAGAATAAGAAAGGAAAGAAAAACTGTTATCTAACATAGTTACCACTACTCTGTAGATTTGATTTCTAGAACCTCAAATATTCAATTAAAGAGGAAAATGTTCTTCTCTTAATTCCACACGAAAAGCAAATCCAGACCAATACATAATATAATAAATCTTGAAATAGAACAAAAATTAAAATAAAAAAGAGATAGGATAGAGTAAAAATGTTGAGTTGAGTGGAAGAAGGAGAAGAGTGACGACGATGTTTCGAATCTCGATCAGAGTTACATTGATTGTGAGGCAGCAACGAAGGCGATGCCGCCGGTGATTCTGATCGGTATCGACGGTGAGATTGAAGATTAAACATAAAGTCTACTTTTTAACATGATATACATGGTATTATTTGCGAGCTAAAATTGAAGATGATAGAAAGAATGTGAATAAAGAGTCTCTCGTACAAGTTGTTGATCATAAGTAATTAAGTCTCTTGCCACTAATAAAGAAACTTATCTAGATAGTTTGAAGGGATGATTAGGAAGCAACCATCTTGATTAAAAGATTATGGATCAAGGGAAGGAATTATGAAGATACAACAATTTTGTTTTATTTCATATATATATATATATATAAATAAGTTGTTGATCCACTTGCGAAAAAGTTGTGAAAACTAAAAGATGGAGAAATGTCATGGATGCTAAGATTAAGGTGATTAGGTAAAATGGCACATAGAACTAGTAAATCAAATCAAAGGTGTTAAAACAATTGGAGTAAAGTGAGTTTTCAAGACTAAACTAAATAATAGGGGAAAATTGTAGTTTAAAGTGAGGATAAATTATGTGCTCAACAATCTGTTATAGATTATGCAGAACTGGTTGCTTTGATAGTTCATATGAAAACTGTTTGATTGATGATTGCTTTAGCAACACAAAAAGGATATATTATTCATTAATTATATGCACAATCTTTCTTTTTAGATGAAGAGTCAGCTAATAAATATTTTTGTTGAATAATGTTGTAATTACATTCAAAAGAGAAAGGAAGAGAAAGTGTACAAGCTAAAAAAAGTTGTTCACAGGTCTAAACAAGCTCCCTTGGTACATCGATATTGAAACATATTTCATGATGGAAGGTTTTAAAAAATGTGATTAAGTGTATAAATAATGAAATGAAACATTGAGGGCAACATGATCATTATAAGTTTATACGCCGATGATTCCTTTCATAGAAAACAACAAAGTTGATGTTTATTAAGTTTAAGAACTTGATGCATAATCAGCTGATATAATTATTCTTGGTACATCATAACAAATTTGTTGGTTTGCTAGGAAAATTAGTGGAAAAAATCCTTTTCCTTAATTTCTCACTATTTGGTGAGGAGTTAACAATAAACAAATAGCGTAACTAATTTGAAATTAATTAACTATAGTTTGAGAAAGTACATCATTGAGTTGATTCCTTACAAAAAAATCAAATTTATTTAACTACGAGATAATTTTGTGACTAATCAACGGTTAATGAATGAAATTTTTATCTGGCCATGAAAATGATGTCTAAGTTATTCCCACACTAATATATTTATCACAATTCTATCACAAATTTTATTAAAAATTAAATTAAAAGAATAAATCTATTTAAAAGAATTTATGAGCTATCAATGTGTTAACAAAATATTGAGAGTGTATTTTATTATTATATAAGTTCATAATTTTTTACTTATGTTGTGAGTGATATTTAATATATAATTTTTAAAAATTATAAATAACATTTAACTAACACAATATTTTTTTCTTTTCCATTTAAGTGTTATTAAAAATATTAAAACTATTCTTATTAGTTATATTTAAATTGATTTTTTGAACTATTTATTATTTTTGAGGCTATTGTTTTATATGTTAATTATTACAAATAAAAAGTTATTAATTAATATATATTATTACAAAAAGTATGGAAGTCGTATGAAAGCCGTATTAATAAAAAAAATTCCTTTATTTCTTATTATATTCAAGCCCTAATCCCAAATAAACCTAAAATAGCACAATTTATCTAAATCTCATCGTATCAGAGGTGAATCTGAAACAGAGAGCATTGTTCGAGATCATGGTTGATGGTCAAATGTTCTAATTTATTGTTGGAGGCTTGCATTGATTATCAAAGTTCGGATTTAGACAATCGTCGTTGAAGAACGAGATGGATGCAGCAGTTGAAAAATAGTGATTACTGTAATACGTAGAATGAAATATTTTTTAAGTCTCAATGTCTTTTAAAAAGTATCTAAGTTGTTGTAGCATTTTCAAATTAATTGATTTAAACTCCGATGATTCCTTATTTTAAACTTTGAAAGCATAAAAAGAAATTAAGGTGACAAAACTCTAAACAAACTGTAGATTTTCTTGGGTTTCTTATTATGATTCGTCCAAATATGATGATAAATAGAAAATCTAACATTCAAACATTATCTCAGAAATTCATTTTGTGAGATTAAATTAGATTTGAAGTGTACTTTTTAATCTATTATCAAAACCAGAGTTACTCAAACCAACATAAACTTAAGGAGAAATTACTTTGTCAGATCGAGTTGACGTGTTTATGAGGTTGTTAAAGGGTTAATCAAAACAAGAGAGAAAGATCATGTCATTAAAAAAGAGAGATTAAGCCCAAATTATTGAGGGTATGGTTCCCTGTGATGCATATTTTATTGTTATGTTTTAATTTCGGTATGATTCTTGATCACTAAGAACTGTATAACAGACTATCAGACTTATAAGAAAGAAGCAAAGCATAAAAGAAGAGAAAACTATATCTGTAATGCATAAAATCAGTGTTGACTCGTCATTGAATCTCTGTAAGAAGAATTTCCCATTTACTGATCTGTCTTCAATCTCTCTTTGTTTTCCTGCAGAAACTTTGGAAGGCACGTCAATCTACAAATTGGTCTGTGACTTTAGTAATCAATAGGTCCATTCTTGAGGCAGAAGCATCTCATTCTGCATATGTCGCTGTTGGTTTTGTGATTGACGGTTCTGTAGTGAATACATGCCATCACTGGTACTTACTAAAACATCTGCAAACATAACACTCAATTTTCATTCATCAGCATATTCCAATTGCCTAATCAATAACTATGACACAACTTTTGGATGTTTGTATGTAGTAGTAACTGCACCATATTTAATAGCTGCAGTCAACTATAATTGTTGTCTAATAAATAATATGTTTATGTGTACTTAAAAACCCAATAGAATTACACTTTATTAAAGTGAAGTTTGATAAAGAGTTTTACAA